ATATCTCTCCAGCCGGCAATTGACACCAAGTGCCCTCGACATCCATTCATTTCCCACTCCCTTTCTTGGAAGAATGCCACATATGATCGGGATTCCTCCCTTGCTTCTAACTAATTCTATTGCTGTTTTATACCTCTGAATCAGTTCCTCACTCCTAACTCGACCAACATCATTTCCTATCGCGCTAATGCAAATAACGGGATTGTTCCCATTTCCAGCCATAATATCATTCATGTTGTTTATAATATCACCAATACCAGCTCCGGGATAGCAAACCCTTGACCTGTTACCCCTATCTCTAGCACGTGCTAAATTTATGTGCTTCTAGTTAGGTTAGGTTAGGTTAGCTTAGGTTAGGTTAGTTTAGGTTAGGTTAGGTAAGGTTAGGTTAGGTTAGATTAGGGTAGGTTAGATTAAGGTAGGTTAGGTTAGGGTAGGTTAGGTTAGCTTAGGTTAGTTTACGTTAGGTGAGGATAGGTTAGGTTAGGTTAGGTAGCTGACTGAACAACATAATATTACACTATTGATAAGAACCATTGATTTAAAAAATATATATTGGGGGCCTTTTATTGGCGCTGATGTAGATTATGTCCAGAAGAACTCCCTAAAATATATGTAATACTCCATAGAGATGAAAAAAAGAAAAAAGCAATTTAGAATTTCATCTCTTGTGCATCCACAATTTCCTTTAGCATTACTACATATTCCACACCCTTGTCCAAGTCGCTTTCTGTAGACTTGCCATCCATATCTCATTTTTTGGGGGGCAGGGTAATCTCACCCCTTCACCAGTCATCTTATCTACATCTTTCTCTTCAAGTTTCACTCTCCACACCCCGTCTTCCAGTCTCACCATCGACATCCTTCAACCCATCCTCACCATCAATGACATTTTTCAGATATCCTTTCACCGGCCTCACAGTATTAGAACATAGAACATAAGAATGAAGGTAACTGCAGAGGGCTTATTGGCCCATACGAGACCGCGCCTATTTTATCCTCCCAATCTCATTCATATATATGTTACCCTGTTACGGAACTAGCATTTACCCAAGTCTTTCTTAAATCAAAACTTAATTTTCCTAAATATAAACTTAACCAATTTATTCCCATTGTTTCGTGTTCTATTACGTATTGATAGATTTTTATTCATTCTTTCACCATCGTTTCCCACTCCCCTCTGCTCCGCACCTGTCTCAGTGAACCCCCAAACCCGTAACACATCAACAAGTAATAACCACTTACCATGTACAGAGCGAGGCGTCTCAAGGTGCTGGGTAGTTCAGTTCGGGGATATATATATAGAGAGAGTGTCCAATTATGAACCCAGCGTAAAGCACTTCCTCAAGCTGAAACACAGAACCCATTGACTAATAGACTACTCTATGGGTTCAAGCTGAAATTCCATAGGTGTAGAAAACAATGTCCAGATCACAGTTGACGTTAGGCCCACTTACCTGTGGCGTGTTGTGAGGGAATGACTTTCCAGCTATCATTAAATGAGTACACACTACCATTTTTAATCCTCACTGAGTGCACTGAGTTTCTTTATTTCAAAACTTGACTCTGCCATGTTGTGTATATGATGACAGCTCTCGTCATCAGGATTTAATAGGTACCACGTTGGCCGACGTAGGAACTTGCATTCAAAAATTACATTAAGGTTTAATATGAATTACAGGCCGAAATTCCATGGGATGAAATATCCAGTTTTAGTGTTTGGTGGCACTTTTGGAGAGCTGTGGACCGGAGGGCCAGACCCTTTCCAATGGTTTGGGTAACCATAGGCCTGGCCTGATAACGTCACGGCACCGCACAATCCTAAGGGGACGGAAATTTGTAGCGGCAGCAGTGCATGCCACGCCATTGATCTATTTCAAAGAACAAGGAAACAGTGTGTGAGGCCACCACTATAGGCCTCACACTACTTCTGAAGTAGTCGCTCATTTGTGCAGGACCTGACAAATTTGTACTGTCGGCCAATAGTACAGATCTCCGTTAACGTGGCGTTAATCCATATCTCGTTATTACGAAATTCGTCTTACGCACCCGCCTACAGAGTCCGGTCTCGTGAAGATTGAGATTAACAATATACGAGAGATAAGACTTAAGAGAAAGTCTGTACTGCCCTGTAAGTTCACCCACAGATGCAACAGACTGCCAGTGATCATCAGCTTTCATCGCTGACATCCATGAGCCGATTGTTACTAAAGTAATCTAAAGTGGATAAGCATTGATTCCACAATGTGATGTCAATTTCTCCGAGTGAGAGAACTGTATTTTCGACATAATTGTGGTTTTCAGTATTTGCGGCGAAAAACACCGTTCCTCCACCATGTGTGCCTCCACCACGTGTACCGCCACCACGGGTACCGCCACCCAGTGTAAATGGCACACACACCACCCGGTGTGTGTCCATCACCAACCACCCAGCTGTTCACACGGCGCTAAGCCCGGTGCGTCTGACTTGTCAGCCGCATCTCACCACCTGGTCACCCACGTGTCTTGCATGGAAACCACGTGCGGTCCTTTGTTTGAGATGTGTACACCACACGTGTCTACAGCTGCCACCTGTGTGTGTCAGCATTACTCGCATGTAAACCATATGCGGTCGGAGCTCGAGTATCTACATCTGTTACTCTGTGTCACTGATATCCCGCATGTTTTACCACGAGCAGAAATTGCTGGAGAAAGCTCATAAAAATCTGCTAAAAGCCCAACTGTTGTATGATTGTATTGTTATGTGACAAAGGCCGGGCTTTTAAGTGAGTACAAATTTATTTTCTCTGTTTTATTATAAAGTGGTCCTTGTGTTGACTTGATATCAACCCACCGGCCAAATGTTGTCCTGTAATCACATGCAACGGGTGTGAGAAGAGTGGTCGAGGAAACACTGAACAGTTATTGATTACAGCGTCTCTGTGTGATTCCTGTCAATTCGACAATGACTGAGTGTATGTATTACGCACCTCCACACATTTAGTCATTGTTATGCTGATTTTGTATTTTGATTGTACGGTTTAATGATACGTATTGACATAAATTCCATGTGATTGTGTCGGTCTCGTTTCAGAGAACCAAAGATTGTGTAAGTCCTTTCAGTGGGTTTGTCTAGGTGATACCCTATTATTATTGTTATAAATATTCAAGTGTTTACTTTATATTGTGATTAGTGCTGTGTTGTACTGTGGTGCACTTATCGTAAAGTGTAGTGATTTTATTGTGTTGAGACAGAAGGGAATAAGTGATATCTTGTCACTAGCTGTTTGTGTGATAGTGTAATTAATGTAATTCATCTTGGTTGATTACCTGTCTATGTGACAGATTGTTAAAGAAATTTCTCACTGATTGTTTAATTGATTTGGTGACAGAGTAATTAGTGTAAAGTGTTACTGTTTGTTTGATTAGCTGTCTGAGTGACATATTGTACTTAACGTATTGTTTTTTATTTGTTAGCTGTCTGAGTAACAATAATTAACGTAATTAATAAACGTAATTGATTAACGTAATTATGTAATTGTATTTTTTGTTTGACTGATTGTAATAGAGTGTTCGTGTCCGTTTGACAGAATTATTAACGTAATTAATTTACTGTTCTATTTTAATTACCGTTCAAGGGACGCGTGTTAAAGTAATTAATTTGAGTTACTAGATATTGTCTTAGTGACAAGTCTGCCATGTTTTGATTGTTTTGGAAGTTGTTAATTGTCATTTGTTTGCATTGCAAGTGTTGATTGCAAATGAGTCCGAGTGTATAAAAATGTTCAGTTAGTTCATTATTGTCTTCTTGCCCAGCAAGAGGACCGGAGACAGTTCTCGTGATTCTTACCAGTCGAGAGTTGTGGGATATATTCCCGCTCTACTGGTAACTGATTAGCTGTCACGTGCCACTCTGGACATTAACTTAACGTTAACTGTATTGTTTTGTATTAATCAGTAAGTTTGTTGAACAAATTCTTATTATTAATGCAAATGTGTCTTTACGTCATAACTTTACGAGTACTGCGCCCTATGAGCGCCCTGCTACAAGTTACAACCTTATTTTGTGAATTTGACTGATGTCGGCTCTTGGGATCGAACCTAATCATAGCCCAACCACTAAATACTAAATTTGGTGTAAGGACCCGTTGGCTACCCTCAAGATTGCTACAAGCAATTGAGGAGTCAACGACCTAATGGAGTATCAGGAAATTGAACTCCGGCGTTTGCTCTCGCCTATATCTCATTGAGTACAATCTCACATCTGGCATCAACTCGTGGGACTAGATTTGTACAGGTCAAGGTCTAGTTATCACACGTGTAACTAGTGAAGGGCTGACAACACGCAACATCCATTATATTAACACCTAACTGAATGTAAACAACGCTGGGAGAGTATTTCAGATGAGTATGTCAAGACAATGACGTGGTACTCGACCTGATTAAAAAATGTACACTGTGGTACCAGAGAACTTTGCAAATATTAAAACAAATACTTAAAGAAACCGGCGTCTCAATAAATCCCAAAACAAAGTCTTAAGTGATCAATGTTCTGGGCGGCGTAGAGTGTTTTCAAGTAACAGAAAGTACCAAATAAACTGGTGCTTTCAAAATTAGCCTTAAATTCAAATGTAATAAATAACAAAGTAAATATAAGCCTGATTCAGGGCAAAAAAATAGAATGAATAAACATTGAGTCAGAGTCTGTGAAAGCTAGGATATGGCAATTTATATTATTACTTGATGTGTGTTGAAATATCATATAATTCACTGGGAATAATTATCACTTAACAATAACACATAATATTGTCTTAATAATAAACTCATAATTACATTACTTAATGAATGTAAATTCAGCCAGTTTAACGCATGCACAATCAATATCAGTCAGACTAATAACAACTAAACAAGCAACAACATAATGTGAGAATTATATCACCTCTTCAGTTATTACACAATAACCAAACTCCACGGTGCTGTTAAGAATAAATAATTAATCTTGTCACTTTGCTACATAAAAAAGTCACAGAATAACCATTATAATACTGAAATTGTTCAAACATAACATGTCGGGAAATTTATGTCTATACACTCCGACAACCTAATACAACTACTTAACAATAATTTGACTTTGGGTTTGGCCACTGGTGGTGGCAGACGTCATCTGCGCTCTCCAGTCTTTCTTGACCCAGTCTTATGTGCGGTAATTAATGGTGTTGTTCGCGGTGGCTTGAGCCCGCGTACGCCGCCTATGTGATCTTCTTGAGGTTATCTTGAGATGATTTCGGGGCGTTTTAGTGTCCCCGCGGCACGGTCCTCGACCAGGCCTTCACCTCCAGGAAGCAGCCCGTGACAGCTGACTAACACCCAGGTACCTATTTTACTGCTAGGTAACAGGGGCATAGGGTGAAAGAAACTCTGCCCAATGTTTCTCGCCGGCGCCTGGGATCGAACCCAGGACTACAGGATCATAAGACCAGCGTGCTGTCCGCTCGGCCGACCGGCTCCCTGGTGATGGGGGTCTTTCTTCCCATGGTGCAGCGTTCCATGACAATTAGCCTTGAATATACCGGAAATGTGGACTACCAGCTCGTGGATGTGACCTCGTTTGATGTGAAGTATGGAGTGGCGGATATCTATGGTGTGCAGCTGATTCCCAGTAACCGTGTGGTTATTAAACTGATTTCGCATGAGGTCTACAGGGATTTTATCGAGCACTATAATGGGCGCACTTTCCACCTACCTGCCGCTACGGGTTCTGTAGTTGTTTTGGACCACTGTGGTACATCCACATATGTTAGCATCCCTGTGGCCCCCATTCGAATTTCCCTAAGTGCTATTGCGGCGCAATTTTGGGAAGTTTGTTAGTGTTGTCCGTTAGGATGAACGTCATTTCGTCAGGCATTTCGACACAGACCATGCGGCTGAAGGCTGACATTCCGTCCTCTGTTCGTATGATGGGCTTCTTTATCAGGATTTACTATGCTAAGCAGCGTCGTACATGTTTCCGGTGTGGACTATCGAGGCACCAGGCTGCGGGTTGCCGAGCGAGCAGTGTGGACCAGGTCAATCTCTTTCGGGAGGAAGACTTAGCCCCTTTGAAGGTTTTGGGGGTTTGTGTATGTGGCGATGATGGTGTGGCTGTGGATACCCTGTCTGCACAGGGTGTGGATGGCGTGGCTTCAGCTGGGATGACACGGTGTGGTGGACAGTGAGCCAGTGTTGTCGGTTGTGTCTACAGTTCCTCCTTGTGAGCTTGTGAGATTGGAGGCACCAAGCCTCCAACCCATCCCACAAGGGGATGGGATGAGTTGTGACCCCGCATCCCCCCCCCCCCTCTCTATATCTCACTTTCTTTAATGAGAATTATTATTTAATAACTCTATTGTCACGAATATGCTCAGTGAATTAAAGCTGATATGTCTATATTCGTTTACAAAATATTGTTTATTAGCTGGTAATAATTTATGCAATTACGAATTGTTATTCCAGCATTCACATATAAGTGAATTTATATCCAGCACTCTCTCGTATTGAACAACGTTCATCTATTTATTAAGAAATGAGAATTTATGTATTGTCAAATAAAACAATTAATTCTATACAGTTTCTGATACACCTTCGTTCCATTAATTCGGGAAATTAAATAAATCATAGAAAATATTAAGCGTGCTGCAGCACGACTGTGCGTGCACGAGCTAGCCCGAGAAGGAAAAAAGACTGGCAAGCGATGCCATAATTTTTGGGAGAGTCTGGAAGCTGCTCACACAGTCGTCTTCATAGAGGGCCATCCGTACACCTACTGACGCCAACAAGACGTAGCAACTTCATTATGTCATAGACACCGTGTTTGGCACATCAGATTGGATCCTATGTTGTTGTTCTTTGAAGCTACATTAAATATTTTAGATAGGACGATGTGTCGTCATGACGCAAGCCCCTAATACCAAACCCGAAAGGCTCGTTCCCCTTAGCTAATCACATTTATTTCTATGAATACTTGTGGAATTATATATTCTTTAATAGGTTTTACATGTGAATCGTCTTTCAGCTGGAATACAACTACAATCGAGGCGATAACTTCCTCGATGCTTACGTGTTCCCAGAGTAGCCTGATGTAACACGTTTCTAGGCGACGAGTATACGAGTTCACGGAACGTTTGCGACTCTTTCTGCTAACAGCTAAGTTGTCTTTGTAGTTTCGTAGATAGACCATATTATTAATTATTGAATTATTT